GGTTTGGGGTTTGGGTTTGGGGTTTGGGGTTTGGGTTTGGGGTTTGGGTTGGGTTTGGGTTTGGGGTTTGGCGTTTGGGTTTGGGATTTGGGTTGGGTTTGGGGTTTGGGGTTTGGGTTTGCGGTTTGGGTTTGAGTTTGGGTTTGGGTTTGGGGTTTGGGATTGGGATTTGGGTTTGGGTTCAAGGTTGTGGGGAGTTCAAGTAGTGTTTGGGTTTGGATTTGGAGTTGGGTTTGGGGTTGGACTTTGGGGTTGAGGTTGTGTGGTGGGGGGGATGTCAGGTTGGGTTGGGGTTGGATTTGTTTGATTTAGGTTAGTTTGGTTTGACTTGATTGGGTTGAAGTCGAGTCAGTTAGAATTTATTGGTTTGGGTTGCGTTGCTTTGAAATGGGTTGGGTTGGGTTAAATTGGGCCAGGCCGGGCCAGACCAGACTATGTTGTTTGTTTTCTTATCGTTGTCAGGCCTAAAGGGATCAAAGGGTATGGGGAGAGAAAGCAGCAACAAGGGACTGAGTTGGATGATCAATCGTGACCATATTGAATGGCAGAGCAGGCTTGAAAGGCCGAATGGCCTACTGCTGCTCCAGTTTTCTCTGTCTCTACATGGGGTTGGGGCGGGCCGAGCTAAGAGTTTGCTGAATTTCCAGCCTGGCTGTGAATTGGATCGAGTAACAGTTGGGATTAAGTCCTGCCTTTGGAAGGTTTGAGGATCCTGATGCCTGTGAGATTGATCCGATCAGGCCGATCAGGTACAAAAAGCTTCTGGTGGAACTGGAGAGATTTCCAAACAAAGGAAGATCATAAAAACTGTTGGGAAGGATAGGTGGAGATTGTCTGGAAATGTCAAGATACCTGGAGCTTCCTTTGCCCTTTTCCCATGGAATTTCCATGGGAGAGCCCAAACCCAGTGTTTATCCGAAAAGGCACTCCAGAAAATTCCTCACCCATTTAAACCCTGTGTAATGTATAGACGCTGTGTAATGTATAAACCCTGTATAATGTATAGACCATGTGTAATGTATAAACCCTGTGTAATGTATAAACTCTGTGTAATGTATAGACCCTGTGTAATGTATAAACCCTGTGTAATGTATAAACCCTATGTAATGTATAGACCCTGTGATGTATAAACCCTGTAATGTATAAATGCTGTGTAATGTATAAACCCAGTGTAATGTATGTGTAATGTATAAACCCTATGTATGTATAAACCCTGTATAATGTATAGACCATGTGTAATGTATAAACCCTGTGTGATGTATAGACGCTGTGTAATGTATAAACGCTGTGTAATGTATAGACCATGTGTAATGTATAAATGCTGTGTAATGTATAAACGCTGTGTAATGTATAGACCATGTGTAATGTATAGACCATGTGTAATGTATAGACCATGTGTAATGTATAGACGCTGTGTAATGTATAGACCATGTGTAATGTATAAACGCTGTGTAATGTATAAACGCTGTGTAATGTACAGACCATGTATAATGTATTAACGCTGTGTAATGTATAGACCATGTGTAATGTATAGACCATGTGTAATGTATAGACCAGACAGAGCTGCTGAGGAACAAAGTGAGCTAGTTCCAGAAGAGATGTGACAATGTGTCCACGTGTGGTTTCAAACTGTCGCTCTATGTTTATTTCAGGGGCAGTTACGGAAGCTCCAGAACCTCCCCAGTGTGCTCCATGGGAGAAGATGAAGATTGGAAAGTGTGTTTGCAAAATGCCTTATGAATGCAGGTACAGTCTGCACCATCGCAATGAGAGAGTGTGGAGAGTTTGCAGACAGGAGACAGGGGCAGTGTGATAGAAATAACACCTCAGTCCCTGTCCACCTCTCCCCACACTCTCACTAATTTCTTTTCCCCAATCTCTCCCTCCCTTGTTCCATCCCACTCTTGCTCTCTGTGTCCCTCTGTCTGTTCCTTACAATTACTCTCCACACCCCCAGTGTTACTCTGTCCCACACACTCGCTGTTCCCCACACTCTGACTCTCCCCTCCATTTTCTCTCTCTCTCCCTCCCTCTCTCTGTCTTCCCCCGTTTCTCTGAACCCTCGTTCTCTCTCTGTCCTTGCTCCTCTCTCTTCTGCCTCTCCCTGTCTCTCTCTGAGCCCCCTCTCTATCCTCCCCTGTGTCTCCCCCCAGTTCCCTGTGCCATGTGTTCTATCTCATGGTGTGCTGTGTGCCCCCAGCCGCTCGCTGCCAGTCTGTGTGGTGGATGGGAAGACGAGGAGGGTAATGTTGCTGACACTATGCAAGCTCCTGACATTGGAGTGCCTGGGCCGACAGTATGAGCTGGTCCCACAGAGCACCTGCCCATCACCTGCTCCTTCTCCAGCTTCCCGCTGTGGTTCCTGCTCACTCGGAGAGACCTGCGATGGTGAGAGAACAATCCTCCTTCATTTAAATATCCTCCAAACACCTCCCTGCCAGTCAGTCTATCCTGGGGCAGTTGGGTGGCGAATAGGTGAGGGGCAAATGAAAGACAAGAAGGATTGGAGAGCAGCACTGAGGGAAGGCGGGGGGCAATGGAAGGACAGTTGAGAATTTTTTTATTCACTTGTGGGACATGGCTATCACTGGCTGGGCCCAGCATTTCTTGCCCGTCCCTAGTTGCCCCTTGAGAAGGTGGGGGTGAGCTGCATTCTTGAACTGCTGCAGTCCATGTGCTGTAGGTTGACCCCCAATGCCCTTAGGGAGGGAATTCCAGGATTTTGACCCAGTGACAGTGAAGGAACGGGGATATATTTCCTAGTCAGGATGGTGAGTGGCTTGGGGGGACCTTGCAGGGGGTGGGGTTCCCGTGTATCTGCTGCCCTTGTCCCTCTAGATGGAAGTGGTCGTGGGTTTGGAAGGTGCTGCCTGAGGATCTTTGGTGAATTTCTGCAGTGCATCTTGTAGATAGTACACACTGCTGCTACTGAGCGTCGGTGGTGGAGGGAGTGGATGTTTGTGGATGGTGCCAATCAAGTGGCTGCTTTGTCCTGGATGGTGTCGAGCTTCTTGAGTGTTGTTGGGGCTGCACCCATCCAGGCAAGTGGGGAGTATTCCATCACACTCCTGACTTGTGCCTCGTAGATAGTGGGACAGGCTTTGGGGAGTCAGGAGGTGAGTTACTTGCTGTAGTATTCCCAGCTTCTGAGCTGAGGGAAACAGTGGGAATTGAGGGGGAGGGATGGATGTAAGGGAATGCAGTTATTGACCATATTTCCCTGAACTGTGCTCAGGCAGACAGAGGTCGACCCTCCAGCCTCAGGTGCTCCTGGTGGTGTCTCCGATAGATTTCGAGATCCTAAAGTACAGGCCGGTCTGACAGCTGAGATTTGACAGTGTGGTTTGAATGGCGGTGGGGGTGGGGGTGTTGGGGGGAGCGGTGGGGGGTGGAGTTGTAGGGGGACAGCCGGTTCCCCTTGGAGACTTGACCAAGATTCATCCTTTCAGGATGTGGTTGTGGGATCTTCCTGTGCTTCAGCAGGCTGCTTGCCTAATGGTGTGGTAGCTGAGTGACGGGGATGCCTATTGTTTTGCAGAGGAGCGAGTCGGGTGTGTGTGCCAGCCACAGGAGGAGTGTCCTGCTGGAGGGATTCAGTTCTGTGTCCTGCTGGAGGGGAGCGAGGAGGAAACAACAGTGAGTGAGTGTGAGGCCGCAGTGTGGAGGTGTCATGGGAGAAGTTTCACTGTTGTCGCCAGCCGCCCGTGTTTACAACGCTTGGCCACTGCAACCGCCTATGACCCGCAGAGTTAAAGGTCTGAGGGTCAGCACCCGATAACCCCCTGACCCAAGCACCCAGCCTCCATCATATCTTGTCAAACCCTGTTCACTTCCCCCACAACTCTCTCCCAGTTCTACTGCCATCCAGAACCATCCGAACCTGCTCCCGAAATCCTGAATCCCACAGCCTACTCGCACCCCCCCCCCCCCCCTTCCTCCTCAGACCACCCTCCACCTGCTCTCTCCCTCAAGCTCAATAAACCTCCTTCCACTCTGACTGATGTGGTCTTGTTTCCTGGCTCAGTTTATGTTGTTTCTGCCTCGACAGATGTTCACAGGATGTGAGTGTCACTGGCTGGGTCAGCGTAGTATTACCCCATCCCTAATTGCCCAGAGAACAGTTGAGAGTCACCCACATTGCTGTGGGTCTGGAGTCACGTGTAGGGCAGACCAGGTCAGGCCATAGGTTCAGTAGCTGGGTTTTATGTTAATCAATAACGGAATGGTCACCATTGGGCCATCTCATTTTTCTAGGTTTTTATTGAATTCAAATTTCCTCATCTGCCATGGTGGGATTCAAACCCAAGACCCTGGAAAATTACACTGGGGTTTGGGATTAATATCCCACTACACCAACACATCCTGTACGATTGTAATGCCCCATCCCAGGGTCATGGTATTCAGGGGGGATGGTTCGTGCGTGTCAGGGGTTCAGGGGTCAGCGTGGACAGGGGTCAGGGTGGATGGGATGGTCAGAGGGGGCAGGGGTCAAGCTTTCGGAGCACTGCACCCTCTTCAGGTGAAGTGGAGGGAAGCTCACAGGCACAGAACATATAGGTAGAGAGATAATGGCAAGATAATTGGGATCAGGATGCTGTCTGGTTTATCATATCAGAGTTTTCTCAGGGTATTCTCAGTGTGCGTGTGTGTGTGAAGTCAGAAGCCATACGACACCAGGTTATAGTTCAACAGGTTTATTTTTAATTAAGGCAGATTAATTAATTGGTTCATAGGTCATCCCTTCATTTGTTATTCAGCCTCTCGACCCTCCACTCACACTATTTGTACTTATCTGTTGACACTGTTAATTACCCAGAATTAACTTGCCATTATCTCTCCACCTATCTCCGCTGTGTCTGTGTGCCTCCCTCCACTTCGCCTGACAGTGAAGCAATGCTCAAAAGCTTGTGATTCAAATATCATTCTGACCTTGTCCACCCCAGTCCAACACTGGCACGACCACATTCATGGTTCTGTGTGTGTTTGTGAGTGTGTGTGTGAGTGTGAGTCTGTGTGTGTGTGAGTGTGTGTGAGTCTGTGTGTGTGTGTGTGAGTGTGAGTGTGTGTGAGTGTGTGTGTGTGTGAGTGAGCATGTGTGTGTGTGTGAGTGAGCATGTGTGTGTGTGTGAGAGTGAGTGTGTGTGAGTGTGTGTGTGTGTGAGTGAGCATGTGTGTGTGTGTGAGAGTGAGTGTGTGTGAGTGAGTGTGTGTGTGAGTCTGTATATGTGTGGGGGC